AAATCTAAAAGCTTAAAACTTTATACAAGTAATGATAGTTCGTTAAATAGTCTTGATTTTAACTCTTTTCTCTAAAACGATGATTTTAACAAAGGTGAATAAAAATCCATTATTAATTAATTGGAAATAATATCCATTAATTATTACTAACGATACTTATTTGATTGATTAATAAACACTAGATTCTAGTAATTAAGAGAAAGAATCAATGGGTGACTAATTTAATCTCCACTATAAATTTATTATTTATCTTTTTATTTTTTTATTTTATTTCTTAAAGTTAAATCATAATAATATTTTGAAATAATAAACTTTTTACAGTTTCTGATTCTTGTTAAATGGTAATATTGCCGATTACAGCTTAATTTTTGGACTACTCTTGTCAGTTAATTGCAAGCAACTCATAATAATTCGGTGCTTGACAATTAACTGGTTTACGAATTTACTTTGGTTCTCGCTTGTTGCCTCTTTCTTGTTTGTAAGTACACTTAATGGTGCCGGATAACTCTAAATGAATAAAACGACTTTTTTACAAAGCTCAAAGGCTTCTATAAAGTTCCTTTTATTCGCTTGTGACCAATTATTTCAGTTTATCTGTCGATTTGGTTTATTTACAAACATTTAGGCAGCTTGTTAACGGCCTTGCGTTTATTATTACAATAACACTACTGGTAACCTTTGGACAATACTTCACTAACACCCACTAGTTAACCAACGTTAGTACTAAACCCTTGTTTACCCACTAAAGGCAAAAAACTTGTCTTTTTACCAAGACACTTACTCCACTTGTTGTTTTTATCAAAGCGCTTTAAACAACGATTTTGAGGGTTTTATTTTATTGTAATGTTAATTGTGCATTGATTTATTATTCAATTTCGTAGAAATGAAATCGAGTTTTATAGGTTGCGAAATTTTAAATTAAAAATAATAGAGAACATTTGAATGTTAGAACTACTAATTTTTTAAAACACAAAAAGATCAAGAATTCTATTTTATATGAAAATAGAGAAATCGTATACAATAAGAGAGCTTTCGATAAAAGGAAACGAAAATATTTCTTTACATGGTAATTAAACAAATTATAAATATAAATCTTCCGCTTGAGTAATAATAATGGTAAAATTAGTTGATAAAGTTTTTTTTATATATAACAAGCACCTTCTTCAATTAAAAACGACTTTAGGTTAAACAAAGTAAATGTATGGCAAGGATTGTATGTTTTATATACAGCTATTGATTATATTTGCATAACTATAAACCATTAGGTTTCTTTTATCTTACTGTGAAACTTAGATCACTAAAAAAAACCAAAAATTGTAAAACTTTTCATAGGAGAGCAGCTTCTTTCAATTGAAAACGACTTTAGGTTAGGTGTCTTGAGGATTATATATAATTTTAAATGCTTTAACAATAAAGTAATTTAATCAATCAATATCGCAAAAATATTATAAAAAGCTTGTACACAACAACGCCTTCATTTCACTTGTAATTTTTGTGCAATTATAAAAGGCTTGCACAAGTATTTTACGCAGTTCATATTTTTGCACGATAACTTGGTAATTATGCACTACGCTTGCGTAAAGTTTTCATTCGAGTAAGAATTATGAATAATCTTCAAAGTGCAAGATATTTGCAAAAATTGCATACATATAATTTTTACGTTGCGTAGGTGAAGATGGCCGACGGCTCTGTGACT